GACCCCGGATAGGCGGAAGAAAATGGATGGATGGATGGATGTCATTTATTTCTATTTTAGATATGCCATAATAATGTTAGTTACTATAATGTAACTTATACATAAACATTATTCTAACCTTTGCTTCCAGGATCAGAGGTGATGCCTAAGGCTCTGTCTACACGCATAGTTGGAGGTATTTGGTGGTTTTTCACTTTGATCATCATCTCCTCCTATACGGCCAACTTGGCCGCCTTCCTCACTGTGGAAAGAATGGATGCCCCCATTGACTCTGCAGATGACCTCGCTAAACAAACAAGAATTGAGTATGGAGCAGTGCGAGATGGATCGACCATGACTTTCTTTAAGGTAAATTATGGTCGTAAAAACCAGTTAAAATTATCTCAAAAAAGTTTGCCTTCTTGGAAGCAAAGCATGAAGTCTTTTGCCCGATGCTGTAATGTCTTTAGTCAGGGTTCTCTAAAAAAACATCCCTGCTTGCGTCCTGCAGCTCAGCAGGCTTGAATCATGCTGGTCTTTATCCTCCCAGATYGCAGCCAGTGATTATGGCTGCCTGTATAGAAAGAAGCTGCCCATGTTGATGGCTTCAGCAAACTGAATCAGCTGAAGGAGCTTTGGAGTACAGCTGTCCTGTTTACTCTGGCATACCGAGGAGAGACACCTGTACACAATGAGATCAACATCTTGATTTAAACACACAAACTAAAGAACTGTGTTCATGGCTGTATTTAGGCTAAATGGTTGGAGCTGTTGCCTCACAGCTAGAAGGTTGTAGGTTCACCTAATGGGTTTCTGGGTGACGTTTGCACTTTCTCACCATGGGCTTTTGTGGTTAGAATAATATGTCCTGATGCATATCAATAATCCAGGCAGAAATTTTAAATAAAAAAGTAGGTCCTCTTGACAGCTTATTTTTAAAAACCTTTTTATTTTTAAATATTGATGGATGGATGGATGGATGAATGAATGAATGAATGAATGAATGAATGATGGATGAATGAATGAATGAATGAATGAATGAATGAATGAATGAATGAATAGATGGATAGATGGATAGTTGGACAGTTGGATGGATGGATGGATGGATGGATGGATGGATGGCTGGATGGATAGATGGACAGTTGGATAGATGGATGGATGGATGAATGAGTTGATGAATGGATGATGGATGGATGGATGGATGGATGGATTGATGGATGGATGGATGGATGGATGATGGATGGATGGATTGATGGATGGATTGATGGATGGATGGATGGATGGACAGTTGGATAGATGGATGGATGGACGGATGGATGAATGAATTGATGAATGGATGGATGGATGAATGAATGAATGAATGAATTGATGGATGGATAGATTAATGAATGAATTAATTAATTAATTGATGGATGGATGGATGGACGGATGGATGATAGATGGACAGTTGGATGGACGGATGGACGGATAGATGGACAGTTGGATGGACGGATGGATGGATGGACAGTTGGATAGACGGATGGATGGATGGACAGACGAATGGATGGATGGATGTATAGATCAACGATGGATTGATGGACGGACGGACGAACGGATGGATGGATGGATGTATAGATCAATGATGGATTGATGGATGGATGGATGGATGGATGTATAGATCAATGATGGATTGATGGATGGATGGATGGATGGATGTATGGATGGATGGATGGATGTATAGATCAATGATGGATTGATGAACGGACGGACGGATGGATTGATGTATATATCAATGATGGATTGATGGATGGATGGATGGATGGATGGATGGATGTTTTAGTCTTTTCTCAGCTCATCTGTTGTACACGTCTTACTGACTCTTTCATCGTTTGGATCACTCAGAAATCAAAGATCTCCACCTATGAGAAGATGTGGGCCTTCATGAGCAGCAGAAAGACTGCATTAGTTAAGAACAACAAAGAAGGGATCACACGGGTCTTGACAACAGACTACGCCATGCTAATGGAGTCTACCAGTATTGAGTACATCAGCCAGAGAAACTGCAACCTGACACAGATCGGAGGTCTCATTGATTCCAAGGGCTACGGAGTGGGAACACCTATTGGTAAGAGAAACAAAGTGCTTGCCATATTCTAACAAGAATAAACCAGAATGTTTTTATGATATGTACATTACATTGCAAAAATTTAGCATCATAGTGAGTTTATATAAATTCTAAGGAATAACTTGCAAAAATCTCCCTTTATTCAAACTGTGAGAATATTAAACAGTGAAGAACTTGTGCAGAAGTATTATCTGTATTTCCTTTTATTAAACATTTCCCATGCCAATTCTTTAAAAGTTCAAAAGCTGAGCTCACATCCTGCATCTACATGTCTCTTTAAGATCTGCACTCGAACCTTAAAGTGAAAGTTCAGCTCTAACAGCTAAGGGAGTGTGAATAGGACCTAAATCAAAATGGATTTTTACCATCGACAAAAAACCTCTAGTCTCAGAAATCTCACCRAGGTTCATGCAAACACTGGTTTTAAATTCTTACCACTGCCTTCAGTTTTGAATTACATAGTTATTCCTGACGAAATATAATGATATTGTTCCCAGAAGTGCCTCAGGCTGCACCTTGAAGTGCTACAACCAGCTGCTTCTGCCACTGTTTGCAATTGGATATGATGGTAGAAATTCTAAGATAAAAACTGTGTWTTGCAGAATCAACAGTGGATGTAAAGATTAATGAAAGAGAGTTTGCATAATCTGTTGTTTATTTTAAGTTAACAGCAGTCCACTTTGGACTACATCTTATTTTAGATTATTCACTGACTGATCATTCTGGTCAAAAAAAAGAAAGAAAAATGTTCAAAAAGCCATTAACAAACAGATAACACATTTATTGTTCATTACTTTTCTGCAAAACTCCCACTCCAAAGGTTTGAACTAACAGGTTTAAACAAATTCAATGATACTGAAATTTATTCTTCTGCAGCAATTTGCACACATATTATATATAATTTGTATATATTTGTGTGAACTTGCCTAAAAAACGTCATTTGCATGGAGAACTGGCAAGAATGAATGAATTAATGCATTGTTTTTCAACCCTGGTCCTCCAGGCACACTGCCCTGCATGTTCTAGGTGTTTCCCTGCTTCTACACTGCTGATTTCAATTGGTAACTGATTGCAGTTCAACAAAAGCCTGTTAATCATCTGAATCAGGTGTGTCAAAGCAGGCAAACTTCTAAAACATGCAGGGCGGTGTGCCTTGAGGACCAGGGTTGAAAAACCTTTAATTAATGAATATATTTACAACAGACATTCCACAAAACAAAGGTAATATTTACATATTCCTTAGTGTGAATACAACATTACATAATATCATAATAACATCTAAAAAATGTCAAAAGCTTAAAATAAACAAATGAAACCTTATCATAACTCTACTTCTTAAAGTTTTTGTTTCAAGCAGTCATTAAGATGAGTAAAAAGAAGGTGACAGGTGCTGAACTCGCTGTATTCTGACACACCTCCACCAGAACTTCAGGCTTCACTCATGTCAGCGGGCCCCACTTGATGAGCTGCTGTCTGCTGCTCTCATGCTGCTCTCGCTGTAGGAAAAGACACCGCTGTGCTGAAAATAATGAGCACCACACARTGAAAGAGCAACAGCAGCTTCTCAGATACAAAGAAAAACAACCAGACAACGCTTACGCAGAACCACTCACAACAATCCAACGGCAGTTCAAATCTGAGCCCATCTGATCAAACTGTTATGATCAAACCTCCACCTCTTGCACAGTGACTGCTGGAGTTAGAACACGTGATTTTAAAAAAAGAGTGCATGGATGGATGGGCTCTAATACAAAACATGATTAAGTGCTTACATGATCAGGTTCCTCAGCTTTGTGGCCTTGAGGTTTCACTTTTAAGCCACCGGCTCAGGAACCTGTGAAACACGCAGTGGAAAATATAAATCCTCTGAGGGGATTAGCACATGGACGTCCTTACGTGCAGAACTCAAACTGATCTCTGAGTGTTGAATGTCTACCACCTTTAAAATACCCTTTGTCAATTGTTTTATTTTTATTTTGTATTTTATTAAGTTTGCATTTTTCATTTGAACTGACTTTGATGAGCCTAAAGGTTTGTTTGGGGACAATATCTGATGAGCGACTCTTTTAAATGAAACCAGAGAGCGTTGACAGAGCTGCTTCATGGAAGAAGAACATCAGCTTAAGCTGAGGTTCTTCTTCCATGAAGCAGCTCTGTTGTCCTCCATCCATATTTTCAGTTMCAGGCTGAGTCATTTCTACCTTCTCCTCTCTGTCAACGCTCTCTGGTTTCATTTAAAAGAGTCGATCACCAGATACTGTCCAAGATTAACCTTCAGGGTGGATATAGCTCGCTAGCAGCCTCGCTATTAATGTTCCAACTAATCGGGGATCCCTTTAAACAACAAGGAAAGTCCTTTTAAATGGTTTTTGTTTGGTTTTTTTCTTTTACTACACAGATTTAGGTCCTGCGTAGTAGGCTTAAATCTGTAATACCTAAGATTTCCCTAAGAGATACAATTCTAAGATGAACTTAATATGCAGTCATAAGCTGATAACCTCAGAGCAAATGCAGTTGAGTTTAAACTGTGAGCCATCCTTTTCTTACATATTCAGTTTGAATGCATTTGATAGGAGATAATTGTTCAACWATATGCAGATTTTATAAGAAAGTACAAATTTTGCACATCCCTGYTGCTTAAAATATTTATAATTTACTCAGAGTTTCCAAAAAAAAAAAGCCCTCATTGTTATGAAGAGTTGTTTTATACATATTTTCTTTCCTTCACCAGGTTCTCCATACAGGGATAAAGTCACAATCGCCATCCTTCAGCTGCAGGAGGAAGGGAAGCTCCACATGATGAAGGAGAAGTGGTGGAGAGGAAACGGTTGTCCAGAGGAGGACAACAAAGAGGCCAGCGCTCTGGGTGTGGAGAACATCGGAGGCATCTTCATAGTTCTGGCTGCAGGTCTGGTTCTGTCTGTTTTCGTGGCCATCGGCGAGTTCATTTACAAGGCCCGCAGGAACGCCGACATCGAGGAGGTGAGTGGGGCTGAGACCGGACAAGTTTATGTTCCGTTTCATTTATTTATCAATGGCAAAGCTAAGGAGCAACGCTTCCATGTACACAGTTTACTTTTGTTTGTCTGTTTCTTTGATTCTTTTGTGTTTTCCTTTTTTTTAATCATTAGGATATTTATGTTCATCTTCTTTATGTTTTCTCCTCCATTTTTCTTTCTTTCTTTTCTTTTTTTTTTTGCATCAGGCCTTTTGTTTCTTTTACGGCTTGCAGTCTCGTCAGTTTCAGCGCCGTGGCTCCACCTCCTCCTCTGACAGCTCTTTATCTAACGATCTGGAGAGCGGCAGACTGCTGGGGGATGACCCAGAGTAGCCATGGCCTCTCACACACAACTCACACTCGCTGTAGACCCTAGGTTTGTAACTAGGTGTCCTCCGCTCTGGCCTTTGTGGAAAATACCCCAACTGCACCTTTATCTGCTGCTTCCCTCAGTCCCACTTGCTTATACCCCCACTGTGTCCTCATCATTCACATAAAAATGTGTTTTACTGTCTTATTGTACTAAAAGCCATTCAGAGACTTCTTTTTTCTAATATTCTTGCTTACAACTGTATTGTTTCTGCTGTAAATCCAGTTGAGCTCAAACACAGAGGCTTACTGAGGCTGCTGATTCAGTGAGGAGGAAAATTAAAATCTATGTGCAGCCACCTCTTCCTCATAACTTTAACTCTATTTAAAATGAGTACATGGGGCCGTTTTCGGATAAAAGCCTGAAGATACTGATTCTTTTTCGCAGGAAACCTCTCAAGTCATAAAATTTGTTTTTAAAGTGTGAATTTTATGTTTATTCAAGTCCAAACCAGTATAAAAACCTGTTTGTTTAAACTTTCACAATAAAAGTGGGTGAAAATTCCACCGGGTTAGCAGGATTATCTGATCCATCCATCCATCCATCCATCCATCCATCCATCCATCCATCCATCCATCCATCCATCCATCCATCCATCCATCCATCCATCCATCCATCCAT